TAAAGTTTTCCTTTGTTTTATATTTTCTTACTGCTCATCAAAAATTTGAAGTTCAAATTTTTATAGATTCAACCATTTTCCACACAAAATTGACATTATTAGGATAAAGCAAAGCTGGATTGCCTAGCTTATGGATGATATGGATGACATAATGTGACAATTTTGAAAGTTTGATGCTAGTAATGTGCTCAACAATACAAAAAATAAAAGGTAAACATATGATTGTCCCTGTTCTGAATGAAGTGCATTCTGCTACATCAACACATTTACTGGAAGTACTACCTTCAACACTTCCAAAAGCAATCTTTTCCTCAAAGGAGCTTTTACCATATTCCCATTTTTGCCAAAAGCACCTGGTCCTTCAGACTTAAATCTTAGAGTCATAATTGCTTCCTGCACTACATATTCTCCAAAATCTAATAACCAAATCTTGGTTCATATCCCTTTTACTTTCTCTTCTACTAACCCATTCCATCTACTAATGCTTTTCTGTATTTACTTTATTTTATTTTCCAGAAAAGAATACAATTTCTCTATTTCTCATAGTTAAATGTGGGAGATTGGTCAGAGTGGTGGGAGAAACTATAGGGAAAGGAGCAGGCCTTCTGAAAGGTCAGAAGGCTTTGGCTCTGCATGGCTTTGGGGGAGAATAGCTGAAGGCAGCTGTTCTCTGACCCTGAGGCAGAGGGCAAGGAGTAGGTACAAGGAAGTGTAGGGGAATTTATCTGAAACAGGCTTGTTTACTTATGTTGTCCAGAAACCAACCTTTGATCATCTGCGTGCGTGACTGCTCCCTAAAAGTGGGAACAATAATGTTAATTACCTGCAGATTGTGTTTGCTCCAGGCTTTTGGCATTATGTCTGTGCTGAACGAAGCAAGCAGCTCCAGCTTATGGAGACTACTCACTCTTGGGCTGCTAGTGCCGGGCAGTCCCCTAGCTGCTCTTACACTTCATACCTGTGTCTGAGTACTCCTTTCATCCATTGCTTGGCCAGGGTCTGTGGGATGGACCTGGCAGTTAAAGCTAACATTTTTAAGTTTGGAATTAAGATGATTCAATCTTAGCCCCTGAGCTGCCTAACAAACTTTCTGATTCTAGCCACTCTATCCCTTCCTCAAAATTCCTGGCACATAGTAGACACCCATATATTTATTTATTCACATGTAGTAGACACCCATATATTTACTGGTTCCTTAGAAGGAAGACACCAAATAAATACATCATTGTCTACTACATGCCAGGAATTTTTGTTTCACCTGGAATGCCCCTAATGCTTTTGTTTCTAATCAGTCTCAAATTTAGTTACCCCATAAAACTGTTCTAAATTCCCACTTTCTCCATGGCACTTTCCTCACTCCTTCAAACTCATACTAATGATGAGAATGCCCCAACTAGTATCTTTCAAGTAAACTGGCATCTTCATGTGTTCTAGAATGCTAGTCAATCAAGAATCTTAAATTATGAAGAGTTCATGTTTGTATAGTGCTTATTCTGTACCAAGCACTAATCTACATACTTTACATCTATTACATTTAAATATCACAACTTCTTGAAATAGATACTATTATAATCTCTATTTTTCAAATGAGGAAATTGGAGCATGGAGATGCTATATGATCTGCCCAAGGTCACACAGTAAGCAGTAGAGCTGGGACTCAAACTCAGACAACACTGGTTTCAGAACCCATGCTCTAAACCAATAATCCTTATTATGAGTTCCTTCCAGTTTTAAAATTTCTACACATTATTTGGCCAACCCCATCATTTGACTGAAGAGAAACCAAGGAGGAGAGAGATTCAGTGACCTGCTGAAAGTTGCATAACACAGAATTTTTCAAAATTTAGTGTGCATATAAATCACGCAGAGCTCTTTAAAAATGCATACTCTAGTTGAATAGGTATAGGATGAAGGCTGAGATTCTACATTTCAAACAAGCTCCCACATGATACTGATTTTACAAACCATGTTCCACACCTTGAGTAGCAAGAACAAAGGGAAATGCTAGCTGAGACTGGAACTCAGTTCTGATTTACAGCATCCAGTGCATCTGGTACAGTAGGTAGGAGGGAGAAAATGTGACTGAGAAGTTACCGGGAAAAAATCTACCTCATTTTCAATCACCCTAAATTTATTCATGCCGAAATAGATAACAAATTCACCTTTTAGTAATCCAAATACTAAACATAAAAAAGTTGCTTAAAATGTTTTTGATTATTAAAGTAGTGACAAATGAATAGTAAATAAGATGCCTTCAATGAAGACTCTGTTAAAATTTTAAATCCTGAAAGTTCCTGAAATTTAAATGATCCCATAGCTTTGAAGAGTTATAATATCAATAATTCTCCTTATAGGAATATATCATAATAAATACTCCAAACAAAGAAAAATATTTATGCACACTGATACTTATCACTGTTCATAATCATTTATAAACAACTGTAACCAACTTCAGTATTTAACAATATAGAATAGTAATACAGAAAGATGCACCCTTGGGAAAACATAGATTAACAAAATAGATCTAATTTAACTTAACAGAAGGATAAATTAAAACACACACATTTAAAGTTAACTTCCCTGCAGAGACTTAAATAACCATTGGCGATCTGGGAATAGGAAATAAGCTTCTTATTTTTAAATCCATCCTATTTCACTATGCCTTTTAAAATTTAAGAATTTTCTAAAAATATTAAAGGTTTTATTACTGGCTTCTGTGTAAATAATTACAAGATGTAATGGTTATAATAACCTTATGACATTAAGTATTAAACTAAAAGATACCCATGTTATAAATACATTTTTAAATCATTCAACACCTTTGGTAATAAATAAATTTATTACCAAATAAAGGTATTACATAAATACATTTTTAAGAGCATTTAATAAAATACCAATAATTGATAAACTTAAACCAACCAGTTCTATGTTAATCCTTTCTCAATTTGTATAGTTTATTTTAAAGCTATATCCCACAAAGCATCATTCAATAAAACTATTGCATTCCTGGTCCCAGGAGTAACATCAATTTCTAGCAGGGTTCACCTTTAACAGTAGTATTTTATATTTTCAATGAACAAGACCCCATATAAGTTCAAACACCTTTCCTATGTACTCTGTCTTCTAATTCTGTTTTTAGTTCATGGGTTTCATTTGTACACTCTCACTAACCAGTCCTAATGCTACAACTATTTTTTAAAAATTGACAAAAATTATATATATTTATGGTGTACAACATGATGTTTTGAAGTATGTATACATTGTGGAATGGCTAAATTAAGCTAATTAACATATGTATTACCTCATGTATTTGTGATGAAAACACTTAAAATCTACTCTTTAAGCAAATTTCAAGTGTATGATACCTTTTATTAAATACAATCACCATAATATACAAGAAATCTCTTGAATTTATTTCTCATAACTGAAATTTTGTGTCCTTGACCAACATTTCCCCAATATCCACTTTCTACAACCCCAGACCCAGGCAGCCACCATTCTGCTCTCTGCTTCTATGAGTTCAGCTCTCCTAGAGTCCACATTTAAGTGAGATCATGTGGTTTTTGTGTTTCTGTGCCTGGCTTATTTCACTTAACATAATATTTTCAAGGTTTATCCATGTGATTGCAAATGGCAAGACTATCTTCTTTTTTTAAGGCTGAATAGCATCCATTCATCTGTTGATGGACACTTAGGTTGAATCCACATCTTGGTTATTGTGAACAGTGCTCAATGAACATAGGGGTGCAGATATCTCACCAACATACTTTCCTTTGCTGGATCATATGGTAGATCTATTTTTTGAGGAACCTTCATACTGCTTTTCATGCTAACTTATATTCCCAGGAACAGTATATAACAGTTCCCTTACCTTCCACACTTACTCATCTTTTTGATAATAGCCATCCTGATGGATGTCAGGTGATATCTTATTAGAGTTTTAATTTGAATTTCCCTGATGATTAACGATGTTGAGCTTTCTTTTTTTCATATACTTGTTTGGTCATTCATATGTCTGTTTTGAGAAATATCTATTCAGGTTCGTTTGCCTTTTTTTTTTTTTTTTTTTTAAGATGGAGTCTCACTCTGTCGCCCAGGCTGGAGTGCAGTGTTGTGATCTTGGCTCACTGCAAGCTCCACCTCCTGGGTTCATGCTATTCTCCTGCCTCAGCCTCCTGAGTAGGTGGGACTACAGGTGCCCACCACCATGCCCAGCTAATTTTTTTTTTTGTATTTTTAGTAGATATGGGGTTTCACCATGTTAGCCAGGATGGTCTCGATCTCCTGACCTCGTGATCTGCCCACCTTGGCCTCCCAAAGTGCTGGGATTACAGGCCTTTTGCACATTTTTTAATTGGCTTATTTGCTTTCTTGCTATTGAATTGTTTGAGTTGCTTATATATTTTAGATATTGACCCCTTATCAGATGCATGATTTGCAAATATTTTCACCCATTCTGTAAGTTATCTTTTCACTCTGTTGATTATTTCCTTTATGTGCAGAGCTTTTTAGTTTGATGTAATCTCATTTATTTTTGCTTTTGTTGCCTGTGCTTTTGAGGTCATCTCCAAAAAAATCATCCCCCAAAGCAATGTCGTAGAGCTTTCCCCCTGTGTTTTTTCCTAGTAGTTTTGCAGTTTCAGATCTTATGTTTAAGTGTGTTTCATCTATTTTGAGTTGATTTTTTATATGGTGTGATCTAAGAGTCTGATTTCATTCTTCTGCATGTGGATATTCAGTTTTCCCTACACTATTTATTGAAGAGATTGTTCTTTCTCCCATTGTGTATGCTTGACATCTTTGTCAAAAATAAATTAACTATAAAGGCGTGGATTTATTTCTGGGCTGTCTATTCTGTGTCTGTTTTTAATGTCAGTACCATGCTGTTTTGATTACTGTAGCCTCATATTATGTTTTGAAATCAGACAGTGTGATGCCTCCAGCTTTGTTCTTTTTGCTCAAGATTGCATTAACTCTTCAGGGTCTTTTGTGGTTCCATACAAATTTTAGTATTATTTTTTCTATTTCTGTGAAAATTGTCATTGGAATATTGATAGGGATTATGTTGAACCTGTAGATCACTTTGTAATATGGACATTTAACAACATTAGTTCTCCTAATCCATGAACACAAGATATCTTTCTGTGTCTTCGATTTATTTCATAATGTTTTATAGCTTTCAGTGTACAGATCTTTCACCTCTTTGATTAAATTTCTTCCTATGTTTTGGTAGCTACTGTAAATTGGTTTTCTGGATTTTCTTCAGATAGCTCATTGTTAGTATACAGAAATGCTATAATTTTTTATATGTTGATTCTGTATCCTGCAAAATAACTTAATTTATTTTTTAGTGCAAATTTTGTTTTGGTGGAGTCTTTAAGGTTTTCTATATGTGAGACTGTTGTGATATAGAAAAACCCGAGTGTTTTTCCTACTCTCTACTTTCACACAGTCACTCAACACCTCTGACGTCAGATGTGTGGATATTTGTTTTCCTCTACATACCAAGCAATTTTCTGGCAGATTCTGTGGCAGACACCAGCTCTAATTCAGTTTAATTCTGATACTGTCCCACAGGAGATAGTATCAGATCCCACACGTTAAGGGTTTGATCCTACAAGACTGCTCCAACTTCAGATGCCGACTGCAGACCCCAGGCTGTGGCCTGATCAGCTGACTATAAATTGGAGTTCCAATGACTCCCACCTTGAATTCTATTAATTTGCTGGAGCAGCTCACAGAACTTGGGGAAACACTATATTTACCTCCACTCATTTACTATACAGAAAGGATACAAAGAGCCAGATGGAAGAGATGCATAAGGTAAGGTATGTGGGAAGGCACATGGAGCTCCCATACCCTCTCAAGTCACTTCACCCTCCAGGAATCTCCACTATCCATTCTGCTATCCAGAAGCAGTTCCCCAAACCCCATAGTTCAGGGATTTTTATGAAGGTTTCATCATGTATGTATAATCAATTATTAACTCCATTTCCAGCCTCTCTTCCCTTTCCTGATAATGGGGAATAGAGGAGTGAAAGCTCCAATCTTATAACTATGGCTTAGTCTTTCTGGTGACCACTGCCCATCTAGGAGCCCACTAAGAGTTGCCCCATTAGAACAAAAGATGCTCCTATCACCCTGGAAACTACAAGGGATATTTAGGATTGCTGTGTCAGGAACCAGGGTCAAAGACCAAATATTAGAACAAAAGATTCCCCTAGCATCCCTATCACTCACGAACTTACAAGGATTTTAGGAGCCCTGTTCCAGGGAATGGGGGCAGAGACCAATACGTATATTTCTTATAATTTCACAGCCTTCACTCTGGTCTCTGGCCATGGACCCCTTACAGCAAAATGATCATATCTATCTGAGCATTTATATTTAGTGTCACATTTATACAACAGATATAGCAAATACCTAACATTTGGAGAAGCCAGTGTAGGGTAGGGGTAGATTTAAAGAAACAATGAATTTTCCCTAAAAATCCATTATATACAGTTTCATATTCTGGCCCCAATTTGCTTATTCTCTTTCTCTGTTGATCTACTGCTGTTTGTACCTTACGATAAACTTGTGCAGAACTATTTAGCATAGGAATAAACTGATGGCTAGCTAGATCCAGGTCCTTCTCAAGCCAGTCATTTTCTATAGATATTACATCCTAAGGAGGCTTTACTTCAATCTCTCTGTACATTTTTTTTTTTTTTTTTGTGAGACGGAGTCTCGCTCTGTCGCCCAGACTGGAGTGCAGTGGCGGGATCTCAGCTCACTGCAAGCTCCGCCTCCCGGGTTCACGCCATTCTCCTGCCTCAGCCTCCCGAGTAGCTGGGACTACAGGCACCCGCCACCTCGCCCGGCGAGTTTTTTGTATTTTTTACTAGAGACGTGGTTTCACCGTGTTAGCCAGGATGGTCTCAATGTTCTGACCTCGTGATCCGCCCGTCTCAGCCTCCCAAAGTGCTGGGATTACAGGCTTGAGCCACCGCACCCGGCCTCTCTGTACATTTGATCATCAATACGGTATTATCCTAAGACTTATTTACATGAGGTAGTTGAATCTTACCAACAACACCTATATTCCACTATACTGCAGGGGCAGCAGAAGAAAACCAGCATGATTTAGCTTTTAAAATTTTTTTTGCACTGCAACTACTGTATGTATCTACTAAATTAGAAACTTGCATCTAACTAAAATGATATGTTTGAATATGGCTGGCTTGATGAACAAAAAGATTAGAATTTGATGTTCTCTGTCTCCAATGTGTCTTCCTCCTTATTTGTTCCCAACATCTAACTTTCAATTCTAGTATTAGAAAATTTCCAGGTCAAGGCCTTTTCCCCAGTTAAAATTCAAATACCTTAGAGACACTGAGACCTAGTCATCAATTATTACACTCCCTCTTTGAGAAATTGAGAAGGAATTTCAGTAGACGGGTGAGAAAAAAATACCTGGAATGAATGATAAGAGTACTAGTTATAAAAACAGTTTATAAAATCTCTCTGTATGATCTGTGATAGGTCACTTAGCCTCCCCTGGTTTCAGTTTGTTCATCTGTAATATGAAAAAATTGAACTAGAAGTCTATTCCTGTTGTAACATACTACTTCTTCAGGCCCCAAACTCAGCCCCATTTACAAGAATGAATAAGCATAGTAAAATAGAAGAAGGCCCCTGTAAACCAAGTAACCACAAGATAGAAAAACATCCTGGGCTGGATGGGAAGGGATCTCTTAAAAGGAGGAGAGGCACTCAGAGGAAGAAGAAGGACAGAGAAGGTTCACAGTCATACCTAGAGCCAGTTCTCTTTAGAGATAGGTCTATCTTTGTGAGATTATTCATGTAGGTATTCTGAAGGTCCTGCTAGCTACAGGATCTTCTGATCATGGTGACTTACACAAGACTCACATCTCTCTACCTCTCCACTTGTCTGGTTTGGTTACTTGCTAATATTATTGCCTCTGTTTTCTTCTCCAACAGACGCTGAACCCCACCAAGAAGAACATTAGACTATACTATGCCCACATTAATTACTTTCCCCCTCATCACCTTAGAAAATCCTTTCATTTTTCAGTATTGTGTGGACACCTGTGAGCTGGTTGTTTTGAAAAAGGAAAAATCCAACCAATTAAAATGGACTGCTCTATTAAAGAACATAACATGATCATGGCAGATGGCAAGTATTTATTTGTTTTTAAAAATAAGTATGTTGAGGGATGGGGGTGATTCTATCAGATATTTTACAAAGATATTCAGAAAATCATTTATATTTTGTCTGTGAATAAATTTTAATTACACAAATAATTTATGGGTCCAATTTTCTAATTGAAATCTTCCAGCATAACTTTTCACGGTTGCAACCACACTTTTATAGAAAAAGTTTAGATGTAATCCAGACATCCATAAATAAGGAATTAAATTATAAGGCATCGGTAAATGGAGTACTCTACAGCTATTAAAAAATGAGGCAGATGTACATGTACTGATTTGTACAGAAGCCAAATATATGCCAGTTGATGTACATGTACTGAATTCTAAGACACTGAAATATATGCCAGTTGTAGAACGTTATGTACAACCTAATTTCAATTGTGGTAAACACAGGTATACACATATAATGCTTAAGTCATATCATTAAAAATATTCCAGGTTCATAAACAGAGCTACCATATACGGTAAGTGTTTTCTGAAGTGCAAGGAGACATCATTCATAGTCTTCTATGATAATCAATTGACTGGCATCCCCTCAAGGGGGATGTGCAACATGGAAATCCTATAAATATACATAGCTCTTAAGTTTAGTATGTCACCTTTAGATTGTTATACTATTAGAGACTTTTCTTCTTCATACATTTCTACGTTGAGGGGTTTTGTTGTTTGTTTTGTTTTGTATAATATGTATTACATCCGTTTTATGAATATATACACATGCAAAGAAGCATGTAAACAAACCAAAAACCTATGATGGCAAATCTGGGTAGGAGGAAAAGCAATGCATTTATTAAGCATTCATTGAAGATGTACATCATAAACATGTATTATCTCTGTGTTTAAAATATCCCGATTTAAATGGGCTGCCCTGGAGCATATGACCAATCTTTGGCAGAACCAGCACTGGACTCCAGTGCCATTGCGCTCCCTCTCCTTCTCCGTTACAGTTCCTGTAGCACTTGCCCTTTGTCAAGACCATAGATTAGCTGAGTAGAGGTTGGCCGCCTTCTGTGCCTTCTGAATAGATTTCTGATTAATCCATCTTTAGCTCTAAACACTCTTGGTTATTACCATGTCCAGATTCCCTGTAAAAACACCCTCTGTATATTCCAAGCATTTTTAAGTTCTTTAGATGCATTGGTTTCTTTTTTGACCTCTCATTGGATTTTTGTCAGTTTGATTAGATAGGGCGTGTGGACACCCTAAATAATGCTAAGACTCCAGTGAAAATTGCTATTTCACTTTCCTAAAGAGACATGAGCTCCGTTAGAGGAAAAAGACACAAATGCTATTTCATACTAAGAATCAGTTTCTTTCCCTGTAATATATAGCTGTATTTCCACATTGAGTGCCACCCTCACATTTTTCCCCTCTGAGTGCCACCCCTACTGTTATTTCCTTATTACTTTATTAAATTGACTCACTTTATTTTGTATAAACTTATTTAAATTTTATATCTGTGAATTTGCAGGTTGATGTGTTTCATTATATTGTTTTATTATATATATTGACTGTAAAAGTAAAACCTCCTTGAATCACATAAAACCATCTGAGGTACCATCAGCACCATATGTACCATGCTTTGGGAAACATTGTTTATGGTCATCTGGGACTGTTGGTGGAATGGCCAGAGAAGGGAGAAATAAAAAAGATATGAAACAAAAATGATGTTGATATAAGTTTACAAAAATATAACTCAATTTATAAAATAACTTCAGTGGTAGTAAACATTGCCTTCTTGGTATGGTTTGACTCAGATTTAGATTAATACATTATTCATGTTCTAATATAATACCTGAATATAATTTCCTCCTACAGATCTTGAGTGGCTAATAAACTTTATGGTGCTTTTTTACATACATTTTTATTTCGTAGTAGTATAAAAGCTACCTTTAGACAGCTTTAATATTTGCCACATCTCTCAAATACGCACAAGTACTCAGCTTGTCCAGGATATATTATCCATAAATCCATTATTCACTTCTCAATATCCCATTGACTTATTACTCTTGGTGGTCATTTGGGGATATGGGGTTAGAAGAGGAAAAACTCTGTGGGTGGAACTGGGCTTCCCAAGATCCTAGAAAGCTAGAAGTCTTCCAGGAGGACAACATATGGAGGTGGAAACAATGATACTGATGATTCTGACCCTGTGTAGCCTAGGCTAATGTGTGTGTTTTTGTCTTAGTTTTTAATGAAAAAGTTTAAAAGTAAAAAATAAAAATTTTAAAAATAGAAGAAAAGTTTATAGAGTAAGGGCATGAAGAAAAATATTTTTGTACAGATGTATAATGTGTTTATGTTTTAAGCTAAGAATTATTACAAAAGAGTAGAAAAATCTTTAAAAATTAAAAACGTTTTATAAAGTAAGAAAGTTACAGTAAGCTAAGAGACAGGGTCTCTGCCACCCAGGATAGAGTGCAGTGGTTTGATCACAGCATACTGCAGCCTTGAAATGCTGGGCTCAAGTGATCCTCCCATCTCAGACTTCTGAGTAGCTGGGGCTACAGGTGTGCATGACCATGCCTGGCTAATTTTCTTATTTTTTGTAGAGATAGGGTTTTACCATGCTGCCCAGGCTGGTCTTGTGCTCCTGCCATTTTAAAATCTTTTATACTGTAGTTTTAAAGTACCTTTTCTATATTTAGATATACACATACTTACCACTGCATTACAGTTGCCTATAGCATTCGGTAGAGTAACATGGTGTACAGGTTTGTAGACTAGAAGTTATAGGGTATACCATATAGCCTAGGTGTGCAGTAGGCTACACCCTCTAGGTTTGTGTAAGTATACTCTGTCATGTTTGCAAAGCGATGAAACTGCCTAACAATGCATTTCTCAGAACATACATCTGTTGTTAGGTGACACATGACTACACAGATATGACAGGGGACTTATCAGGGGAATTGGCTCACACTATTATGGTGATTAAGAAGTCCCATGACAGGCCATCTGCAATCTAGAGACCCTGAGATGCCGGTAGCATGGCTCATAGTCTGAAAGCCTCAGAACCAGGGCAGCTGATCATATAATTCTCAGTACAAGGCAGAAGACCTAAGAACCAGGGACACTGCTGGTGTAAATCCTTGAGTCCAAAGGACTTGAGTCCAGAAATCCGTGGAGTTCTGTTGTCTAAGGTAGGAGATTAGTGTATCCCAGCTCCAGGAGATACATCAATACATTCATCATTTCTGTTTTTGTTCTCATGAGTTCCCCAGCTGATTGGATGGTGGCCACTCACATTGAGGGTGGATCTTCTCCACCTACATGCACTCAGACTCATGCTAATTTCCTCTGGAAACACCCTCTTAGACACAACCAAAAATAATGCTTTACCAGGTTGCTAGATTTTTCTTAATCCAGGTTAGCTGGCTCCTAAAATTAGCCATCACAGCATCATTACACTGACAGGGGTGGGCTTTCTGTACAATTTACTGTGGTAAGTCTTGCAATCCTGAGCTATCAGCAAAGCTATGGATTCACACCTTCCAAACTTAGAAGCATATACATTAGAGATAATTTGACATTTTCTGAAAATACACTTAAATTAATGTGGAAGATCTGAAGTGGAGAAAGAATTTAAAAGCTAATAATATTATCTTTTGATAATCCTTATGAAAGCACAGGACTGATTTTACAGCACACAGAATAACCAACCTTCACACCTAAATATCAAGCTTTGCCAGGGAAAAACATTTGGAAGGAGGAAACAAACAAACCACAGGTAGTTTTGCAGGTAAAATAAAATTATATAAAGGAAAGTTAATATAAGCTAAGTAAAAATCAGAGTGCTAAGGAGCAAGGATGATTTGACAATAAAAATCAAGAAATGGGGGGGCACCGAAGATGGCCGAATAGGAACAGCTCCAGCCTCCAGCTCCCAGCATGAGCGACACAGAAGACAGGTGATTTCTGCATTTTCAACTGAGGTACCGGGTTCATCTCACTGGGGTGTGTCGGACAGTCGGTGCTGGTCAGGAGGTGCAGCCCAACCAGGGAGAGCTGAAGCAGGGCAAGGCATCACCTCACCTGGGAAGTGCAAGGGGGACAGGAATTCCTTTTCCTAGCCAAGGGAAACTGAGACACACAACACCTGGAAAATTGGGTAACTCCCACCCTAATACTGCACTTTACCAAGGGTCTTAGCAAACGGCACACCAGGAAATTATATCCCACACCTGGCCCGGAGGGTCCTACCCCCACGGAGCCTCCCTCATTGCTAGCACAGCAGTCTGAGATCTAACTGCAAGGCGGCAGTGAGGCTGGGGGAGGGGCGCCCACCATTGCTGAGGCTTAAGTAGATAAACAAAGCCACCAGGAGCTTGAATTGGCTGGAGCCCACCTCAGCTCAAGGAGGCCTGCCTGCCTCTGTAGACTCCTCCTCTGGGGACAGGGCATAGCAAAACAAAAAGCAGCAGAATCCTCTGCAGATGTAAAAGCCCCTGTCTGACAGCTTTGAAGAGAGCAGTGGTTCTCCCAGCACAGAAGTTGAGATCTGAGAACGGACAGACTGCCTGCTTAAGCAGGTCCCTGACCCCTGAGTAGCCTAACTGAGAGACATCCCCCACTAGGCACAGTCTGACACCTCACACCTCACATCGCTGGGTACACCTCTGAGACGAAGCTTCCAGAGCAAGAATCAGACAGCAACACTTGCCGTTCAGCAACATTCTATCTTCTGCAGCCTCCGCTGCTGATACCCAGGCAAATAGGGTCTGGAGTGGACCTCAAGCAAACTCCAACAGACCTGTAGCTGAGGGTCCTGACTGTTAGAAGAAAAACTAACAAACAGAAAGGACACCCACACCAAAACCCCATCTGTACATCACCATCATCAAAGACCAAAGGCAGATAAAACCACAAAGATGGGGAAAAAGCAGTGCAGAAAAGCTGGAAATTCAAAAATCTGAGTGCATCTCCCCTTTCAAAGGAATGCAGCTCATCACCAGCAATGGAAC